GGTGGTCCCTGGGTGGTCAGAGCGTTTTTTGGAAGCTTTTTTGGGATTTCTGCCATCCCACGTGCGGGCACAGAGCCCTGGTGCCAGCCGGGAATGTTTGCAGGGGGATAAAGCTGGAACGAGCAGGAAGGTGGCTCTGGGGGTGACAGCATCCCTGAGCCCCCAAACCCGCGGGATCGGCTCTGAGGGACCCCCAGAAGTGATGCCAGCAGCTGTGGCCACCCCAAGGTCCCTGAAAGTCCGTTCGGGTTTGTTGTTTGTGGGTTGGGATCCTGGAGATGAGCACAGGGAGGGCTGGGACAGCAGCAGCTTCCAGAGATCAGGGCATCCCAGAGATTCCCTGTGCACATCCCAGAGATTCCCTCCACACACATCCCAGAGATTCCCTCTACACATCCCAGAGATTCCTTCCACACAGCCCAGAGATTCCCTCTACACAGCCCACAGATTCCTGTCACCTTCATCCCAAAGATTCCCTCCACACATCCCAGAGATTCTCTCCACACATCCCACCTGCATTCCAGAGATTCCCTTCATCTGCATCCCAAGGAATCTTCAGATTCCCTTCATCTGAATCCCAGTGCATCCCAGAGATCCCTGTCACCTTCATCCCAGAGATTCCCTTCATCTGAATCCCAAAGATTCCCTCCACACATCCCAGTGCATCCCAAAGAATTCCTAAACCGGTATCCCAAAAATTCCCTTCATCTGAATCCCAAAGATTCCCTCTACACATCCCAGTGCATCCCAAAGATTTCCTCCACCTGTATCCCAAAGATTCCCTCTACACATCCCAGAGATTCCCGTCACCTTTATCCCAGAGATTCCCTCCACACATCCCAGTGCATCCCAGAGATTTCCTCCACCTGTGTCCCACAGATTCCCTTCATCTGAATCCCAAAAATTCCCTTCACTTTCATCCTAAAGATTCCCTTCACCTGTACCCCACAGATTGCCATCAACTGCATCCCAGATTTCCATCACCTGCACCCCAAAGGTTTCCATCGCCTGCATCTCAAAAATTCCTGTCACCTGTACCCCACAGATTCCCATCAACTTCATCCCAGAGATTCCCTCCACCTGTATCCCAGAGATTCCCTTCATCTGAATCCCAAAGATTCCCGTCACCTCCATCCCAAAAATTCCCTTCCCCTGTACCCCAAAGATTCCTGTCACCATTACCCCAAAAATTCCCTTCCCCTTCATCCCAAAGATTTCCTCCACCTGTATCTGAGATTCCCCTCATCTGAATCCCAAAAATTTCTGCCACCTATACCCCAAAATTCCCATCACCTGTATCCCAAAGATTCCCTTCCCCTGTACCCCAAATTTTCCCATCATCTGCATCCCGAAAATTCCCTTCCCTTGCATTCCAAAGATTCCCTCCCCCTGTACCCCAAAAATTCCCTCCACCTCCATCCCACAGGGATTCTCTCTCCCACCCCACATCCCCACCAGGAAAATCCCAATCCCTGTGTCCCAAATCCCAGCAATGCTCAGCAGGGATGGGCTCCCCACCCTTTTTTTGGGGTTTGGACCCCCTAAAACCTCACCTGGGGGTTCAAATCACCCCAGAGCTGCCTTCACCCCATGGCTGCTCTGCTCAGAGAGCCCCGGTCCCAGCTGAGCACAAGGGACCCCACAAAACCCCAAAATTAAAAATAATCCCAGTGCCGGAGCAGATTTACTGTACCCCTCTTTTCAGGGACCCCAGAAAAGACCAAAATCAAAAATAACACCCCTGAAAAAGCAGTTTTCATATGCTCCTTTGCCCAAAAACCCCAGAAAACCCCAAAATTAAAAATAATCCTGCTGAAAACTTGCTTTAAACATGCTCCCCTTTTTGGGGACCACAGAAACCCCCAAAATTAAAAATAACACCACTGGAAAATTATTTTTAAAATGCTTCCCTGCCCAGGAGTGCCAGCAACCCCCAAAATTAGAAATAATCCCACTGAAAAAGCAGTTTTAACATGCTTCCCTTTTTCTGGGCACCCCAGAAACCCCCAAAATTAAAAATAACCCTGCTGGAAAATTGGTTTTAAAATGCTCCCCTTACCAGGGACACCAGCAAACCCCAAAATTAAAAATAACCCCAGAGCCAGAGCAACTTTAACATGCTCCCCTTCCCAGGGACCCCAGAAAACCCCAAAATTAAAAATAATCCTTCTGAAAATTTGGTTTCAACGTGCTCGCCCTTCCCAGGGGTGCCAGCAAACCCCAAAATTAAAAATAACCTCAGTGCCAGAGCAGATTTACTGCACTCCCCTTTTTTGGGGACCCCAGAAACCCCCAAAATTAAAAATAACCCTGCTGGAAAATTTGGTTTTAAAATGCTCCCCTTACCAGAGACCCCAGAAACCCCAAAATTAAGAATGACCCCACTGAAAATTTGGATCCAATGTGCTCCCCTTCCCAGGAATGCCAGCAACCCCCAAAATTAGAAATAATCCCGCTGAAAAAGCAGTTTTAACATGCTCCCCTTTTCCTGGACACCCAAAAAACCCCCAAAATTAAAAATAACCCTGCTGAAAATTTGGTTTTAAAATGCTCCCCTTACCAGGGACGCCAGCAAACCCCAAAATTAAAAATAACCCCAGAGCCAGGGCAGCTTTACCGCGCTCCCTTGCCAGGGACACAAACCCTTCCCCTGCAGCCCATAAATGAAATTTAAGCCCCTGGAGCACATAACAACTTTACGAGCTGCTCCGCGTCCCCCACCCCAGCCTGGCAGGGCACAGATCCCCCCCTGGCCTGGAGGAATAATAATAAATAATAATAATAATAATAATAATAATAATAATAATAATAATAATAATAATAATAATGGACATTTCGGCAGGGAGACAAAAAGTCCAGAAATTCTCCCCTCAGGACATCTCCAAGCCTGGGATAAACTTCGCTGTGAGACAGATTTAGGGAGAGGGGAGGGTGGAGGTAAAAAAAGCAACGGGGGAGCTGAGATTTTCCAAGAGAGGAAAAAGAGACTAAAAAAAAAAAATTGAGATTTAAAAAAAAAAAAAAAAAAAAGGGATTTAAAAAAATTGGGATTTTAAAAAATTGGGATTAAAAAAATTGGGATTTAAAAAAATTGGGATTTAGAAAAATTGGGATTTAGAAAAACGGAATTAAAAAAACCGGGATTTTAAAAAATGGGATTAAAAAAAAAAGAAATGGGATTTAAAAAAAAAAAAAAAAAACAAAAATTGGGATTTTTGGTGGCGGTTCTTGGTGGCATGGGAGGGGCATAAATCGGTGTGAAAGGAGAGGATGATGAGGGTGAAAATGTGTCAGGAAAAACCGTCCCGAGCCTGGCGCGGTTGTCAAAGGCTCAAAGGCCGGCTGCTATTTTTAACAGCACAAAAGCATCCGAAAATCGCCTGGTTTCGAAAAGAAAAGAGAAAAAAAGATTAAAAAAAGAGACTGAAAAAAGTAGTGTATCAGTGTCACCGGAATGGATCCTCCGAATGAAATTGAAGCGAGAGAGGAAATTGCAGGAATTACAAACAGGAGTTATCGGCTCCATAGGGGAGGGACCTTATCGGGAAAAAAAAATCCCATTTACCGAGTTAATTCTCCTTTTTTCACACCCCGAATCCATCACTGCCGCTTTTCCTGGGGAGTTTTCCGAGCCCGAGGTGCTCAGGAGCCTCCAGCACATTTTCCCTGGAAATCGCTCATCAGAGGTGGAAAGCGCGGAAAATTTCTGGTTTTTCGCCTTTTTCGCCCCAAATCCTCCCCTTCAGGACCACGCAGCTCCCGCGTTTCCCTTCCCCGCTCAACTTTGCCGGGTTGAGATGAGATTTTTCCTCTCTCGAGGGGTGAAAAAACCCCAAATTTCCCCAAATTTCCCGCAGTCCTGCAGGACCATCCCCGCTGTGGGGTCTCCCTGGGGTTGTCGCTGTGATGGTGACAAGGTTTGTGTCCCCTCAAAGCGACAGAGCTCGGCGCTGTCCCCGCTCCCAAAGCCTCTATCGCGACAGTGTCGCGGTGTCGGTGCCTCTCGCCACCCGCGGGTGACACCGGCCGGGTTCTCCTGTGTCGCCTGTCCCCGTGGTGGATGCACCCAAAGTGTCGCTTGTGCCGTGGGGACAGCGATGGAGGACGGGACAAGAGGTGGCGACAACGGGGACCCCAACGCGCTGCGGGCGGGCACAGCCGTGTCCCCCCAAAAGCCACCAGCCCCCGGACACACGCGGCTCTGTCCGTCCGTCCGTCTGTCCTGCAAACCGTGGGGACACCGGCGCGGTCCCCCCTGTCCCCAAATCAACGAGCGGGGACCGCGCGCTGCGCCCGCACAGACCCCGGAGCCGGGATTAACCCCTCACCTGCCGGGATTAACCCTTCTCCAGCTGGGTTTAACTAACCCCTCTCCTGCCCGAATTAACTCCTCCTCTTTTGCCGGGATTAATTAACCCCTCTCCTGCCGGAATTAACCCCTCTCCTGCCCGAATTAACCCCTCCTCTTTTGCCGGGATTAATTAACCCCTCTCCTGCCGGGCTCCCCGGAGCTGCGTGGGGGTCTCGCAGCGGAGTTCGCAGCCCCGAACTTCGCGGCGCTGAGCGGGGCCGGCCCCGCGCCCCTTTTTCTCCTTTTCCCTTTCTCCTCCTCAAGCCCAGGGGTTTGGGGGGGGTTCTCCCGCTCCGTTCCCTCAGCCGCGACTCCTGAGAGTGCTCCCCGACCCCCGAGGGTGCTCCCCGAGCCAGCAGGGTGCTCGGCACCCCGGGGCTGTGCCGGTGCCCCCCGGGCTGTGCCGGTGCCCCTGAAACTGTGCCGGTTCCCCTCGAGGCTGTGCCGGTGCCTCCCGAGCTCTATCGGTACCTCTGGGGCTCTATCGGTGCCCCCCGGGCTGTGCCGGTTCCCCCCGATGCTCTGCCGGTGCCCCCCTGTCTGTGCCGGTGCCCTCGGGTCTGTGCCGGTGCCCCCGGAGCTCTATCGGTACCTCTGGGGCTCTACCGGTGCCCCCCGGGCTGTGTCGGCTCCCCCCGGCCGCACTCACAGCTCCGCTGCGCTGAGCCCCGGTGCCGCCTCCGCCGGTGCTGCCGGTGCCGGTCTCACCCCGGTGCCGGTGCCGGTCTCGCCCCGGTGCCGGTTCTGCCGGTCCCGGTGCCGGTTCCGCCGCCGCGGGCTCCGCCACCGCCTCAGGTCCGCTCCATGTCCCCAGCGCCTCCTCTGGGAGCTGCCCCGGCGCCGGGCGGAGAGAGGGAGCGAGGGAGCGAGGAGGAGGAGGAGGAGGAGGAGGAGGAGGAGGAGGAGGAGGAGGAGGAGGAGGAGGAGGAGGGCCCCGCTCCAGCCAGCCAGCAGCCGCCTCCGGGGCGGTCCCGCGCCCGACCCCTCCCCTCAGAGCCCCCGGCCCACGTGTGACAGCGCCGGGGCTCCCACGCTGTGCCCGGAGCTCCGCGGACAGCCCTGAGCCCCCCAAAGGATGGGGGGCACTCGGAGGGGTCGGGGGGGACACCCCAAACCCCTCCCAGCACCGCGGGGCTGGCAGGGACCGAGGGAAGACCCCCCACTCCCAGCCGTGCCTGGATTTTGGAGAGCCCAGCCCAAATTCCCGGGATCCCCAAAATCACAACGCGCCAGTGGCAGACCCCAAAATCCACCTTCCAACTTGGGGATCACCCCGAGTTTTCTCCTTTGCTTCAAAATCCACCTTCCAATTTGGGCATCACCCCAGTTTTGCTCTTTGGCTCCAAAATCCATCTTCCAACTTGGGGATCACCCCGAGTTTTGCTCCTTGTTCATCGCTCACTTCCCCTTTTCCCCTGGAAATTCCTGACATCCAATTCCATTCCAGCACCCCAGAAATTCCTGAGGAAAATTCCGGAGCCGCTCCCGGGGAGGGCAAAGGCGGGAACAGAACGGGAGAGCTCACCTGGGCAGGCCAGGTGGGGCACAGGGGGGGATCCGTGCCCCTGGCAGCCCTGGCACCGCTGTGCCCTGGATGCCAGCCCGGCCCCATTGTGAGGCTCAGCCCGAGTGGAACGGTCCCATTGTGGGAGCACTTCGGGAATTCTTCCCGCTGCCATCCTTGCCAGCTTGGCTGCTGGCCAGCGTGGAAACTTCCTGATGCCCCAAATCAATCATCCCCCGGCCCTACAAACGCCCCAAAGGTGAGGCCCCCTGAGCTCACCTCCCTCGGGGCCTCTCGGAGCTCCCAAACTCCCAGGTTTGGGGTTTTCAAAGGGTTTTGCTGATTACAACCCCCTAAAACATCCCCAGGCTCCTCCAGATCCCAAAAGGGTTTCCCCTTTTCCAATCCCAAAAGATTTCCTCTTTTCCTATCCCAAAGGGTTTCCCCTTTTCCAATCCCAAAAGATTTCCTCTTTTCCTATCCCAAAGGGTTTCCCCTTTTCCAATCCCTAAAGGATTTCCCATTTTCCAACCCCAAAAGGGTTTCCCTTTTTCTAATCCCAAAAGGATTTCTCCTTTTCCAATCCTTAAAATATTTCCCCTTTTCCAATCCCAAAATAATTTTCCCTTTTCCAATCCCTAAAAGTTTCCCCTCTTCCAATCCCTAAAGGGTTTCCCCTTTTCCAATCCGTAAGGGGTTTCCCATTTTCCAACCCCAAAACAGTTTCCCCTTTTCCAGTCCCTAAAGAGTTTCCCTTTTTCTAATCCCAAAAGGTTTTCCCATTTTCCAATCCCAAAAGAGTTTCCCCTTCTCCAATCCCAAAGGGTTTCCCCTTTTCCAGTCCCAAAAGGGGATTTGATTTATTTCATAATGAAATCATAATTTCAGGGAAACCCATGGAATCATTAAAAGGATTAAGTGCTGCTAAACCCTTTTTTCTTTTCTTTTTTGCACCCACCCCTTTTGTGTGCCATGGCAAGGCTGGCACGGAGCAAGGGGAACAACTGGCAGCCCCCCAGCTGGACAGACGGACAGACGGACACCATTCCCACACGTTTTGGGATGGAAAACCAGGAGCTCAGCTGGAGCCACGAGGTTTTTCATACCTGGGGACCCCTCAGGATCTCCCCACACCCCAAACCCAGCGCCCCACACTCCCAACCCCTGCAGCAGCTGCGGGAATTCCACCTTGCCCAGGGGATCCAATCCCTCCCAGGGGAGCAGGGACAGGGACAGGGACAGGGACAGGGGCTGCCTCGGGCACTGTTGACAAGGAGCCTTTTTTTTTTTCCCCTGCCGTGAAACCTTTAAAATGTTGTGTCAACACGGAAGGGCTGTTTATGTTTCAGCAGCCGGGAAAGTTCCCATTGACTCCCGGCTCTTTCCTCCCCCACACCGTTATTTTCTGTTATTTTCTTCCCTGGGAATTTCTTTTTTTTTTTTTTTTTTTTTTTTCCCAAGTGTTGTTTCTTTTTTTTTTTTTCCACTCAAGGGCAGGGGAGAAGAGGAAGCAATGGAGCTGCTGCTGGGATTTGGGGGTTGCTGAGCTGGGCTGGGGGTTCTGGAGGGGTTTGGGTGCCCACATCCCACTCCCAGCCCTCTCCCAGAGCAGTGACCTGGGATCGTTTCCCATCCTCACCCCGAGGATTTCACAGGAAATGGGGGAAGTGGCTGCACCCACAGCCCCCAGACCCTAAAGGGGCTCAGCGGGACATTCCCATTAAACTCCAGTGGGACATTCCCATTAAACTCCAGTGGGACATTTTCATTAATTCCTGTGGGACATTCCCATTAAACCCTGTGGGATATTCCCATTAAACCCCATGGGACATTCCCATATTCCCATTAAACCCCAGTGGGACATTCCCATTAAATCCCAGTGGGATATTCCCATTAAACCATATGGGACATTCCCATATTCCCATTAAACCCCATGGGACATTCCCATATTCCCGTTAAACCCCGTGGGACATTCCCAATAAACCCCATGGGACATTCTCACATTCCCATTAAACCCTGTGGCACATTCCCATATTCCCATTTAACCCCACGGCACATTCCCATTAAACCCTGTGGGACATTCCCACATTCCCATTAAATCCCACGGGACATTCCCATTAAACCCTGTGGGACATTCCCATTAAACCCCATGGGACATTCCCATATTCCCATTAAACCCTGTGGGACATTCCCATTAAACCCCATGGGACATTCCCATATTCCCATTAAACCCTGTGGGACATTCCCATTAAACCCCATGGGACATTCCCATATTCCCATTAAACCCCATGGGACATTCCCATTAAACCCCATGGGACATTCCCATATTCCCATTAAACCCTGTGGGACATTCCCATTAAACCCCAATGGGACATTCCCATATTCCCATTAAACCCCATGGGACATTCCCATATTCCCAATCCCACCTGGAGAGGATGGGACAGATCCCCCCCAGCCCCTCTGAGCCCCATCCCCAGCTGGGGGCACAGCTGGTCCCGGTGCCACCCCTGGCAGGGGCAGCCCCGAGTGTCCCCAAAGCCACCCTCCCTCAGTGTCACCCCCTGACCCCGAGAGGCCCCGGGAGGGGGGGGTTTATGGGGGACCCCTCGACCCCAGAGGTCCCCAAAGCCACTCCAGAGCAGGGAGGGGACAGGAGGAGCAGTCCCCAGACTGGATGGGGACACAATTCCCAGAGGGATGGAGCCCAAAAAGAGGAGCGGGAGCTTTGTTGGGGTGGCCATGGCAGCAGCCGGCCCGGCCCGCTCAGATTTTCACTCTCCGTTCCTTCCTCGCCCACCTCGGTGGCCCTGGGGCTGGTGACCGTCCCTCAATGCCACCAGCACTGCTGGCCCTGCCCATGGCATCCCTCGTGGGCCTGCTGGGCACTCCTGGGACCTGCTGGGCATCGCCAGGACCAGCTGGGCATCCTCAACACCCACTGGGCATCCTCAGGACCAGCTGGGCATCACCAGGACTAGCTGAACACCCCCAAGACCTGCTGGGCATCTCCAGAACCTGCTGGGGATCCCCAGGACCAGCTGGGCATCCTCAAGACCAACTGGGCATCAACACCCACTGGGCATTGCCAGGACCAGCTGGACACCCCCAGGACCTGCTGGGCATCCTCAACACTCACTGGGCATCCCCAGGACTTGCTGGACACTCTCAGAACACACTGGACACTCCCAGGACCTCCTGGGCATCTCAGGACCTGCTGGTCATCACCAGGATCTGCTGGGCATCCTCAACACCCACTGGGCATTGCCAGGACCAGTTGGACACCCCAGAACCTGCTGGGCATCCTCAGGACCTTCTTGGCATCCTCAACACCCACTGGGCATCCTCAGGACCTGCTGGGCATCTCCAGAACTTGCTGGGCATCCCCTGGATCAGCTGGGCATCCCCAGGACCAACTGGGCATCCTCAACATCCACTGGGCGTCACCAGAACCTGCTGGACATCTCCAGGACTTTCTGGACACTCCCAGGACCTCCTGGGCATCCCCACAACCTGCTGGACATCCCCAGGACCAGCTGGGCATCCTCATCACCCGCTGGGCATCCCCAGAACCCATTGGACACTCCCAGGACCTCCTGGGCACCCCAGGACCTGCCGGGCATCCCCAAGGCATGAGGCGCCAGGTGGGGACCAGGGCACAGCCACTGTCCCTGTCCCTGTCCCTGTCCCTGCCCTGCTCCCACCCGGCCGCCCCCGGGCCTGGCTCCCATCGCTGCCGCCGCTTTCCCGGAGCTGTCGGGGCAGAGGAAGCCGGGACGATGCCCGGGGGGCCCGGGGAGCAGCGGGCAGCGCTGCCGGGGCAGGGGGCAGAGGCTCGGCCGGGATCGCCTTCCTCTTCCTCTTCCTCTTCCTCTTCCTCTTCCCAGCCCCGCTCCCGCCCGAGCCCCCGCGACCGGCGGGGCTGGGTCAGGGAAGGGAACCGGACACGGAACCGGCCCGGGGCAGAGCCGGGCCAGCAAAGCCGGGCCAGCAAACCCGGCCTGTGGGAATCCCGGGTTGATGCAGTGAAGGCGCTGCCTCTGCCCACGAGCTCACTGCCACCCACTCCTAAGTGCCAGCATGTGGCCTGGTGGCACTGGCCACCTTCCAGCACCCCAAATCCACCTTTGAGCACCACAAATCCACCTTCCAGGACCCCAATCCACCTTCCAGGACCCCAATTCACCTTCCAGCACC